CACCTACACACTTCTGTGTACAAACTGGCTGCAGCCTGAAACTGAAGCCGAGGTCAAGTCCGTAGCTGCGATCAGCAACTTAACTCAGGCATTATAATCACCCAAATCGCAGCCACAGTCAGCTGTATTTGTGTTGGGGTGCCTGATGGGTAAGAGACGAAAATGTCTACGTAATGAAACAAGTAAAAATAGCTTAAATTTGGAGTTGTGGTGAACAGAGATCACACAACAAACTCTTCTGCATTGCGGATACTCCTGACCACTCTATTCACAGAAAGCAGCACTTTCTCCAGGACTCTGCTCCACTACTACAGGAACATGCAATATTTCTTTTTAATTTACTTTTTATTTATTTCCTGGTCTTGAGTGTAACCACTGGTTTGCACTTTATTGTGAACCCTCTGTATGTCCATCCATAAAAACATCTCTTGATTGTAGACTTTGACTTTGTGTCAAATGATACAACCACCTCATCATCTAACCTTCTTGACTTCGTACGATGTTGTGAAATTGTATTTCTTAACCATAGAAATTATTCTGTGCTCAACCATACTTGTCTTCTGTAATCTTTCTGCCTTTTCGGTGTTGCTGGGCTGGCTGGTGTATTAGTTCTTTTTAAGCCACTTCTATAGCTTTTGTTCTCTCTAATAGATTGATTTTGGTTTTTCAGCCTATCGATGACTTCATTCACTAGCATCTCATTGGATCTTATATTGGCAGTTCCAGTAAAAAGCTACCAAATGCAAGCACTTAGAATACTTTCAGATATTTGGTCTTTTTAGACTGTCATGAAATAATGAGGGAATAGGCCTCACCTGTTCCAATACTTTTCTTAAATCCCCATTTTTCCTTCATACAATGTAATGTGTACAGAGGCAAAGCTCCAAAAAAGAAAAACATCCTTGTCCAAAAACTGCATATAGTGCTTTTTGGATCATATTTTTCTGACATATTGTCATCATACATTAAAAATACTAACTCTTTCATTATTAAAAATACTGACTCTATATATGAGAACCAAGAGTTTTGTTCCATGTTGTCATACTTTTACCTATTTAAGCCATTTTTTAAATATTTTTTTAAATCACATTTTATTGTCCCCTTTAGTTCTCAATTAAGATGTTTTATTTAGCTAGACTTACTAAACTATGTATTATGATTTATTTTCTTGTGTTTTTATTTCTTTTTTGTTTTATTTACATTTTTACTTAAAAAAAAATCTTCTTGTCTTTTGGGACATTTTATGTTTTGAAATAGGTGAAATAGTATTTTACTCCATTTCTCCATGTTATCTTACTTTATTTAAAAATGGTCACCTTTTTTTTACTGGTACACAGGCCTTTCCAAATTTGGGGAATAAATTAATAAATATCTAAACCGGTCTTATAAAAAAAAAGACCAAACACGTCTCTGGTCTAAAACCAAAAATCCCACAAAATGACTTCGTTTTACTTTTCAGTTTTTCACGCTGGAAAACATGCAACCTGAATATAACTAATGAGAATTAATGACTGTTGTTAGGTCAGTGTTTATTTATGATCCATCTCTTCACAGTTAATTAAATGACATTAGACATTGTGAAAGATGATACATTACTTAAGTACACATGTTATTTATGTTCAGTTAAGCTTGTGTTAGCCAAACTCATCCAACAGTCAAATTGCTACCATTTGCTAAAAGAGCCAAACAAATGGCAACACATGTTAGGGATTCACGCCTCTCAGAGCATCGATGTTTGCTCTTAAAGTAATTTGAACTATAGCATTCTCTGTAAGCCCAAACAATGATGTCTGCTACATCATGCTGTAATGTTCATGGATGCACTTGGTAACATTTTTCTTGCAGCAGCATCCAGAGGCACTGTGGCTCCAAGGCTGTAAATTGCCCCCAGACCAGGCATGAATTCAGTCCCTGGATCTGGATTAATTTGTGAGTTTTCTTGAGAAAATCAAGATGACATTTCACATGTTTTTTAAATGTTATATGCATTTGTGAAGTGATGACGCAAAGTATTTTGCAATCAGGGCTGCTGCCTGATTAAAGTAAATATCAATCACAATTATTTTGGTAACTCTGGCAATTACAGTAATTTTTCTTAATGCAAAAAAACCCAAAAACAAAACAGCTGTAGATAAGAGTGAGACAATAACCCTGATAAGACACAGACAGTGCAGGGAAAGGCATACAAAAACGTCAGAGCCTTTGTACTAGGAATGAAATGAGAATCGATATTATGATTGTTTAACACAATCATTCTCAGAAAACAACAGTGGATTTATTAAACTTTGAAAAATAAATAAAAGCATTAATGTATTATTATTAGACTTCCATGAGCTTTAATTGTAATTTAACTAAATAAACTCAACACTACATGAATGCAGTAAATCTGCTGCAGGCTAGTGGGAATGTGGCAGGGAGTGAATCTGGAATTTTGTGATTGGGGGAAAAGGAAAGGAAAATAATGTGCTAAAAGCTAAAGCGAGAAAATGATTGGAAAACTGAATGTGGCACAATAATGTTTTGATCTATATTACCTTCTTTCAGTAAAAGGTGGAGGGTAAAAATATAGCTGAAATTAAAATTCAATTAACTGCACAGGTAAAACAGACCTTCCAAAAAATCCCTGAATTCAGATCCAGATTGACTCCAAAAGCCCCACTTCTGGTTGAAATTTAAAGCAAATCTCTTCAAAAATGTTTACGTAATCTTGCTACCAAACAAACCAATCAATCAAATAAATATTAGAGCTCTCTCAATGACATTTACCAGTAAAAGATCCTCAAATATCCAGAACATGCTCCCATTAAATTGTTATACATCTCTGTTGTGTGTTTGCCATTCACAGAGGTTTTGTTTCAGCAATTAGTTGCATTAATTATACTATTTTGATCACCATCTGACAGACTGTTGCATCACAAGTATTTGTAAAATGTCTGCAGGTTTTATTGTACATCATCTAATCCTGTTTAAAGATTCTCAATCAAACATTTCAGAACAAAAGATTGAGGTTTGAGTTTCTCAGATGTGACGTTTTTATTATTTTCATTTATTTTATGTCACCATTTCTTTAGTATCTTTTGGTTTTGGACTATTTTACTTATTTATGTACCTTGATGCCAACACGGATCAAAATCTCTTTTCTTTCTCTTTAATAAAAAGTACAATAAATCGTACAAAATAAGTCATTCAAAAGAGATACGTTAAGATTTTCTGACATTACTAGAACCAAAAAGGACGAACATAAAAAATAATAAGGCAATTAATCAAAGCTTGAGCTGTTTCTGTTTAAACTCGGCTGTTTGAACCTTACTGGAAACAAATATATTCTTTTGCATGTTTTTATTTTAAGTTTATTTATTAATGAGTGAAATTTTTATCAACCTAAATGTAGAAAATGTTCACTAGTCTAGTGCAGTGTTTCGGTTCGTCTTTCTTGCCTTGATAAAATCTTTAGTGTTTCTGGAGCGCCTGTAGAAGCTAAATGAAGATTTTCCATCACACGTTAACAATTTCACAGCTCACCAACTCGCATTAGCACTGACGAGAAACCAGCAGGAGGCCAGAGACAATTTCTGTCTTCAAACAGGTCGGCCAAGCTTCTCGATATTTTCCTGTAATTGTCCGTTTACACATCTGAGGACACAACCACAAGGACAAAGGGCAAAAGATGCCCGAACATCTTACAGCTGTAAGGAAATCTGGATGGAAAAAAAGAGTGTAATGGCTTTATTACTTAGCTCTCTCTTCCAGTATTTAATCAATTTGTTGTTTGATTTTTGTTAATCCCCCAAAATGGACCAATATACTACTCAATAAAAAAAAAAATACACTTGTGCATTAAAACTAAAACATATTACTTAATGCATTGCATTGTCTTTGCACCCCCCAGATACAGTAGGAGGAGTGATAGTAATGGCATTAATCAAAATAGTGAAGACAACTTAACTACCTGACAATCTAACAGTATGTAATCCTAAAGAGGTTTTCAGAGTCTTGATACATGTCAGTGTTATCAAGATGGCTACAAAACAGTACATTTATTTTCAAATCCTTAATTTAATCAGTCTGTCTTACTGAGAAAGGGAACTCTTTATCAATAGAGACCTGTGTATAAAAAAGGTAAACAACAACACAGACAACACACACATGCCGTGTTTTCATATCTTTGTGGGGACATCTAACTGACATAATGCTTTCCCTAGCCACTTACCCTAACCATCAAAAAATGAATGCCTAATCCTAATCCTTAGCCTACACCTAACCGTAACCTAATTCTAACCCTGACACTAAAATCACATTTTGAGTCTCAAAAATGCCTTCAAACTTATGGGGACTTATGGGGATTTTGTCCCCATAAGGGCTGTTGGTCCCCACAAGCATAGTAGACTTCCAATTTTTGGTCGCCACTAAGATATGTAAACATGGTCTCTCTCACACACACAACCACTCTCACACTCTATACATGGTCACAAATAAAGTGAAAGAGTTACAGCAGCTAGTTGCATCTATAGTCCCATCACACATACATGCCATATTAATATATAAAAAACTGAAGGGGATTTTCAGCTAAAGGGAATGTCATCTGAAGGCTAAGGCGGACACCTAGTGGTTGCATCAAGCTAAAGCTTTAAATCAGGGTGCTTGTATACAAAGGTGTTGTGTTTTTTTGTAACCACAGTGGAATATGACTGATACTCATCTCCATCTTTACTTGTATAAGCGTCTTAATCACTTCCTGGCCAAACTTGCGTGTGACATTAATCTCCAGTAAAGCAGTAAAGAGTAATGTGGTGTGACTATGAGGGAAAAGTGCAATGTTACTATTTCTGTGGTCTCAGTTTTGAACTGCCAGCTATGGGAATGCATCCACGTTACTTGAGAATTCATAAGTTTGCTGTTTGAATCAAGCTTCAAATTGGATTCCTCCATCAGCAGATGGAGGAGTCAAATACCACCCGCTTCCACCATCTTATTGGACAGGCTTACCCAAATACAATACCTTAAGTTCTTTATTACATTATATTTTGATTTTTATTCATTAAATACATCTTTCTTTTTTCTATTTAATTGTAACAATAATAAGGTGCAATAATAACAATGTGCAATAACCATACACTTATTCTTCTTTTTATTACTTAAGTTACTGTGTTGTGTTGTGTGTTGTGCCAATGTGGGACAGTTTTTCAATTTCATTGTATTATGTATGACTGTGCAATGACAATAAAGAGTTATCCTATCTTATCCTATCTTATTTAGACCTATTTTATTCTGTTATTTTTTAATTTATTTTATTAAGCTTCTTTACTTAACAGTTTTAATTTGTCTTGGTATATAAATCTATTGCTGTTTTTCTTCTTTCATCAATCTTTCTTTTTCGTTGTATTTTTATTTGCATTTTTTGTGGGTTTTTTTTTTTATTACTTTAATATCTGGTGTGTGCTCTGCCTTGCCTGTATGTACTAGCACTTTGTTTTTAAAGGTTGTATATAAGTAATGTTTATTTCTCTTCTTAAGTTGTGTGAAGGAGTTACTGACCTTATTGTGAACGAGCATGAGTCTCAGCTCCGGTTTGATAATGGCGTAGGCCATCAGCAGATCCTGCACCTTCTTCAGCTCCTCTTTGCACTTCTTGGTAGAAGAGAAACACTGACGTCTCACTGGAAGGTTCTTAAAAAGTTTCATTACACTCACTGTCGTCCCTGCAAAAGAAACAGAACAGAGTAGGTGACCTAAAATTATATTTTCATGCAACAATTAGAGTTGATAATATGGCAGACAAAAAAATTGCAAAAATTAAAAGTATGTACATAAATAAAAATCACTGATTTATTATTTCCTATTTTTATAGATTTCCCTATTTATTTTTCTTTTTGTTACACATAATGAAGAAGAAATCCTTAAAAGAAGATTAAAAAGAAAATAGAGAAATAAATACACTTGAATTACTTCTATTTTATTTTTCCAAAGCAAATATAATCAAGTTAATCAATAAATGCACTAATCAATTAATTTCAAAATAAACTGGAAGTTAAACAGAAAGGAGAATAAGGAGCAAGGTCTTTAAAAAAAAAAAAAAAAAAATTGGTCCTCCATATGATTAATGTATTATTATTATTTATTTTTATTTTTCTTTATTATACTCTGATTTTTCCTAAATTAGTTTTTTTTCTATTTAGTTTACCTTTGCTCCTCTCTATAGTGTTTACCTTACTGAACTATTTTTGGTTTGTCATATTTCATTTTAATTTCTTATTGAGCTAACCTATTTAAGAACTTTTGTGATGGGTGGTGTTTGATGTTTTTAAATTTTTATATTCATATTTCCATAAAAGTAAAACACTTCTATTTTTCCAATAATAATTAATGAACAGCACTGTTTATAATGTGTCTGCTGGCTGATTTTGTAAACATCAATATTAAGTTTCCTGTTCACCGGGATTAAAATAAATTCTGCCCTCATATCTGAAGCAACTTCATTTTCTTTTTTTAGATATTTTTTAAAAAGGAAGCTTTCCTTGTTGCTCTGCTGTCTGTGCCGTACCTTGGCCTAAATGAGACGGCTTCTGGGAAACAATTTTCCCTGTCAAGTCCATCGTGTACTGGGTGCTGATTTCATCCTCCTCTGTCTTTGTGGTAACAGCCACCTGAAATGACACAAAACTTCAGTTTAGCCACACTGAGCTGTCAGCGGCTGTAATTTACACAGCACGAGTGTTTGAGTCTTAATAGAACACCTCAGCCACGGCGCAAATGGAACCCAGCGCCTCCCCTCTGAAGCCGTACGTTTCCAGATGCTCCAGGTCTTCATGTCTGCAGATCTTTGAGGTGAAATGTCTCACAGCCATCACAGGAGTATCTACAGCTTTGATTCCTTGCCCGTTATCACGAACCTCTATGCGGTCCAGGCCAAAATTTTCCTAAAATGTCAATAAAATTAGTGCAACATGAAGGGAAATCACACTCAAAGCTGTTACAATCTGAACAGTGACTGCAGCAGCAGTCAAAATGCTCTAATATTAATGATTTATTTTCACTCACATCATTATTCATAATCATTGCATCATTAATGTTAAATAAATATGATTATAAATTCAAGCAAAATACACTAACAGGGGTAATTAACTGGAGGAAATCAGACTGGTTACTGCATTTACTTCTGCAAATTTTTAAATAAATTAATTTTTCCCCCTGTAACATTAGCTGTAATTAAATACTTTACCAGTTTAACATCAATGCTTGAAGCTCCAGCATCCAGGGAATTCTCGATCAGCTCTTTGACAACATTCACCACAGAGGTAATGACCTGGGAGCTGGACAGCAGACGCACAGTGTCCGGGGGCAGCTGCTTCATGACTACAGTTATCTACTAAGGTGAAACATTTGGATTTAGTGGCACATCTAGTCACAAGAATAATAGGAGAATAGCTGGCCAAGGGATAGCCCTTATAAACGTGCTTCTGATCTTTCTTCTGATCCCTTGCAATAGTGGGTCCATCCATCCATCCATTTGCTTCCGCTTATCCTTTTCAGGGTCGCGGGGGGCGCTGGAGCCTATCCCAGCTGTCATAGGGC